AACGCGATTGTACCATATCAAGCGCCGCAGAATCGAGGTTACGATGGCAATAGCGGGAGTCAGTATCATGGAGGGGGTTATAATCAAGGAGGGGGTTACAAACAAGGTGGGGGTTACAACCAAGGTGGGGGCTATAATCAAGGAGGGGGTTACAACAGACAGTGGGGGGGTGGTTATAGAGACCGAGAACAAGACCGTGATGATAAGCTGGAGAGGATGTATAGTTTGTTATCAGAACAGGTGGAAGAGCGGGAACAGCGTAAGAGGGAATTGGCCAAGCTTGAGTTGCTGGAGCAAGAAAAGAAGAAGCTGCAGGCTGAGGAAGAAAAAAGGCAGCAGGAGAATAGAGAACGCGAACTGCAGGAGGCTAGGCTGGGAAAAATTGTACGTACCAGCATAAAGGTTGTTTGTGAATCAGCCCTTGGACGCAAAGTGGACATACCGGAGGACGATGATTGTGAAGTTGCAAAACTTCGAAGGGAGCCTGAGGAGCTACGGGCCAAATCTTCTGAAGCTTCGAGTAACTCAAGGGATAATGACGGGCGTCTGGAGGCACTGCGAAAGGAGAAGGAAGCCTTACTGAAAGCCAAGCATCAAGAATCAGAGGAGGAACGATTACGAAAGGAGATCGCAGATCTGAGAARCCGCAGTGAGAATGGGGCATGTACAGACGGGAAGAATGACAAAATTTTGGCACTACAGTTGCASATCAAGGAGCTTAGTACATTTCGCGTCACCTTGGAGGAGAAGAGCACTGAGGTTTCTGCCCTCAAGTCCGAGAACAAGCATCTGAGGAAGGACGTCTCAGAACTTCGTGACGAATTTCTCGTCTTACGAGGRAAGAGGTGTTYGGGCGCGATCACGGAAAGCAGTCCTCCGGACGAACCTATTGCAGTGAAGCCTCGTCCTGATCCATCCACCACAGCGATGTATACGCTGAAGGATTTGGCTGTTTTGCAGAAGGCGTACAAGGATGCTCTGCTGGCTAAGGAAATGGCGCTTAAGGAGGCGCATATGCTCAAAGATCGGATGGCGAGATTGGCGGCGTCAAAGATTCGCCTATCCACAAGGCGACAGTCTTCCAGAAGAACCACGCCACGCAACCTTCGGACGAGTTTTCAGGATGCTGAGGAAATCGTCGACCTCGATGCTGCCRAGGARAATCAGGAAGGAGAGCGTCAAAGTGATAAGAACACCGTGGATGCTGCCCGCGATGTTGAAGTGGCCAAGATGGCTGCATTCAGGGATCTCAGATTCAAGGAGCTCAGGCAAYKGAAAAAGCAGGATATGGAGGAGGCGTGTGCTAAGGAGGGAATCARCTACATCAAGCTGGATCAGGCCAAAGCAGATGTGGCTGAGATCAGGGCTAGTTGTGATTTTGATTTGTGGCTTAAGGAGCARGACGTTGCAGATGAGGAGGATCGTGATCTGCACTATGCCACCTCTACGGAGGATGTGGGCRATGCTTGAGGGGACTCCCTGGGCGCGTCTCAACTTCAGGATCTAGCTCTCTTCTGATGAAATTTCTACGAGGATCTGGCGAGTGTTCACTTTCATTTTGTTTATCGATTGATTGTTATTTTGTTAATCTTTAATGGTAGCTTAGGTTGGTGTGATAAATTCCGAGATCTTATTCTTTCTTTGATTAGCAATAACTATGATTTGTTTACTTGTCTAGGTCCGGTTGTGTATGCATTGGTTTCTCCCTGACATCGGCATGTCTATATTGGTTGTTCAAAGAGATCGTTAGTAGTTAGATGGAAGGAGCACATTGCCTTTGCTCAACCTTTGGGGTCTTTACGTACAAATAGGAAGCTGTATAGATGGTTACGACGGGTTGGGATTAATTGCTATGTTGCTCTTCCTATTCTCGTCGGATTTGAATGGGATATCGTGGGTCTTGAGAGATTTTTTATTCGCCTCTTTTCTCTTGCCTTGAACTCTATTGCTGGACGCCAGCGGCAGTCAAAACCATCTTGTAAACCTTCTCGTTTGGGCAGGAAAGAGCGGCTCAAGCGCGCAAGGAAACAGAGAAATAATGCGCTGTTGGATATTGAGCCCCGTCGCTTTAATCCCTTCTGTTTCATTTTTTCTTTCGACTATGAATCTTCTAGTCTTATTTCTGTTCTAAAACGTGTCGTTGATCTTAATGTAGATACTCCTTTCTATGTCACTGTCTCTTCCGGTTCCTTGTTCTCTGATAACTGGAAATTAATCCGACGCCTTTTCGGTTCTTCTACTATCTCTACTACAAACCTTCCTATATCACTCCTCAAGCAATGTCGTGCATGGTTCTATGCAGGTTCGACTATCCACTTTCATTCCATCACACGTTTCTGTTCACGTGGGCTGCCTCTCAAGAACACACCTGTGCGCTTACTAAGTTCACCATCTTCAAGGAGGGACTTGGTCAATTTTTATTTAGTTTCTCTAGTCCGGCTCTATGACGCAGTTCGCACCATCTCCTGCAAGAAATCTCGCTCTAATCTTAAGTTTATCCTTTCCTCCGTCTGCCGAAGGAGGGTCTCGTTGTGCCTGTCTGCTCGATTGATTGTTAGGGTCAGGTTTGATGAATTTCTCGCTAAAGATAAAATTAGGTTAGTATGTAAAAATATTATTTCTAGTCTRSATCTTCCAGCGCCGTATCTTGACAATGTTTGCCGCCGTTTTAGGCTGGTCTTCACTAAGAATCGCTCCATTGCTGATCTATTTCATAATTTTCGATCCTTTTCTAAGAGGTCTGAGATCACTTGTTCCTGTGCGCACTTTTCTTCTATCTATCCTAGACATGATAAGCATGTTCAATTCCATTTCAGTGAGGTGGAATTTCTTCCCCGTTTTCTAGAGAATTCTAAGRATGTTGTCGTTCYTCATTACTCTTYCAATCCAAGTTTGCTACAAGGGCAGATTGTTTCTTCTTTATCATCTTTCTTCRGTCGAAAAATTGACGCCTTGCCTTTCAGAAAGAGATGATAGGAAKAGGCAAGTTAATGAAGTACTTGTCGAGCAATTTAGGTATTGTTTTGATGGTCTTGTTCTTTGTCCGGTGGATCACAACATGGGGGATACTTTCGCGTGTTGCCCCGCGAAATGCGTAAGCTGTTTACTGAGAACCCAGGGCTTCAGATTGTTGATATGACCGAGGAAGCAGTATTGGGGTTATGTAAGGAAGGCTACCAAAAAAGGAAGTTCTCTACATTGGCTCYTTGGGCTACTAAAGGGAAGTTAGGTAGATCGTATGTGATTCCTAAGCATAAAGACACTAATAAGTAGAGACCTATTTGCCCCTCGTGGTCGGAGYCGTCCCGRCAGGCTTCTAGGATTGTTTCATCATGTATTAACGAGTTTCTTAAACGGCTACCACAGTTTTCTCATTTTAATTTGCGAAGTACATCTATGTTACCCAGTTTTYTTCAGTCGGTCAACAGAAGCATTAAAGAAGGGGAAGGGTTGTTGGTCGGCAGTTTCGATGTTAAGGAGCTGTTCTGCCAACTCCCTCACCCTGCCATTTTGGCAGCATTGGATYGGGCAGTGAGTGTCTTCGAAGAAAAAGRGTTTTATAAGTGCCTGATTAMTGGCAGAAWGAAGTTGGTTAGGTTAAGTAAAACTGCGGTTAGTGAGGTAGGATATAAATCTGTAAGTTTTTCTATGCTTATTAGATATGTGGGGWTTGATTTGGAGAATACGTATACTATGGCTATGGGTACGGTGGTTAGGCAGAAACTGGGAATTCCAATGGGTAAGYYGTCAAGCCCGGCTCTTGCTTGTCTGATGTGCGTTCACAGTGAGTATAHTTTTTYGTCRGGATTGGGTAACGATGCTTGTTTGGTTAAGGGTTGYCGATTGATTGATGATGTGTCTGTGTTCATTAKGTATAASGCGAACGAAACTGGGTCAAAGATGAAAGCTCAGGATATAATGTCAAGGTTTAAGGATACTTGTTACGATAAGCACTTGGTTCTAGAGACTACTAGTGAAGAGTTAGAGTGGCCGTACTTGGGATGTCGAGTGCAGGTGGGTGTTAAACCAGTTAAGGTGTACTGTCAGTCCCTACATAAGAATCAGGATAGTATTTTGAGAGGARGGGGCATCATTTTTCATAATTTGCAGAGCTATCTTTCGTTCTGTAGCAAAAAGCAGAAAATTGTCGTGATTTCATCATTTTTTCACAAAGCATATGATATGGGCACTCTGCCTACGGCTGAAGCTGCTTTCCTGTTTTCGCTCAAGGTTGAGCTTCGTCGGCGAGGGTTCCCCGATGAGTTATTCGATAAGGCCCTTTCTAATTTTAATATCAAGATAGGCGGGGCCTGGACCGAGTGGGTCCAGTGTTTTACTTGTTGGGCCTCGTAAGTGGTGGGACTCGGATTTTTCTTGAAGGGCCCCATGGGTCTGGGCCTTGCCTGTCGCTTCAGGAACGGTTCTGCCTCGGTGTAATTCAGTAAGTTCTTCGTATATATTTGTATCTTTTTTCCTGTTCACCAGCGCACCCCTGAGGATGGCCGGTAGACTGGCACGCCGGCCGAAACACGTGTCGGGTATTCGCCAGTAGTGCTTCACGAGAAGGCG